CATTTGCTTTGAGAATAAAGCTAGCTTGGTTTTGAAGGCTCTGACATTTGTGAACATTTCGTGCACAAACTGATCTTTCCCTTGTAGCTTCACGTTCAGCTCATTCATATGTGTCAGTATGTCCCCAGCAAAAGCTAAATCACAAAACCAATCTGTGTCACAGGAAAATCATCAGCTTTCATCATCATACTTTCCCCAAACTTAACCAGCGGACATTTGAGTGATAAAGCAAGTCCTGGTGATCAGCGTCAGTTTCTTCAAGAAACTTAATAAACTGACGATGCTGAAGTCCCCTTGCTCAAATAAAGTTAACGAGCTTTACAACTGTCTTCACCACGTTGTCAAGCTGCAATACAGATTTACACACTTCTTCCTGGTGGATTATGCAGTGTAGGAAAATTACCTCCTGCTTAGGGTTGTCCTCTTTCACCTTCTCCTGGATTCTTTTGAGCAGCCCGACATTTTTTCCAGTCAGATTTGTTGATCTATCTGTGGTAACATTGGCAAGCATACCCCAAGGTAGCTTGTGCCTCTCCATGACCCCCGACACTCTGTCATACAAGTCCTCTCCCTGTGTTTTCCCCTTTAGGGATTCCATGGCCAAAAACTCCTCCGTTATCTCAAAATTGTTATTTATTCGCTCTGATAAAAATTAAAAGCTGAGCGGTGTCCTTTATGTCATTACTTTCGTCCATTGCCATGGAATATAATGTAAATGACTCCACTTTTTTGTTTAGCTTGCTAGCTAAGTCTTCGTCAATTAGCTCAACGGCGAGTCACTGTCCTGCATGATAAGCTAATTTTTTCAAATTTGTTCTTGCTCTCAGGACACAAGATACCTGCTGTCTCTACCATGCACTCTTTGAGAAACTCCCCTTCGGAGAAAGGCTCGCTGGTCTTTGCTAATTTGAATGCCAGCAAATAACCTGCATTTGTGCTTGATTCTTGGATGGCAGTTTGTTGGATAAAGGTGTTTTGCTAAGCCTGCAAACTAGCTGCCAGCCTGTGAGCAGTAGCCGTCCATTCTTGCATTGACTGGTTGTTAGCATAATTAGCATGCTTGGTAGAAAAGTGACGGCTGGTGTTGTATTCCTGGCTCTGCAAAATCAAGTCAATGTATCATCACGCCACCTGGTGGAATGCCAGGCATTACAGGACAAATGAATGCAGTCATAATTATGATATGATTTCATTTTGGGCAATCCTGTACCAATCTTCAGCGGGCCTTATTAAAAGGACCAACGGGCCGAATGTGGCCCGCGGGCCGTAGTTTGCCCACCCCTGCTCTATATAATACGTCACATTACTTACTGCTTTGCTTATGTCATAATGAATGCAGTCACTAGATGTCACCAAAGCATAACATGTAATAGTTTATCATAATAAACTGCTGGCACAAACAACTTACAACATTGTATTTTACAGGATAACAGTCTCATTCCCTAACCCCGTAACCCTAACACAGCAAGTGACGCAGCCACAAAATAGAAGTGATTTAGATTTAGCCTCTGTATATCTGTTTTGTATATACTGTAGGGCATCTTTCTATTCCTTGTAATAGAACATCCAGCCATTGTCTCTGATTAGTATTGATGTGGCTGTTTGAAGCCAGTGAGGTATGGAAAACAATACATCCTAGAAACCTCAGCTGCAACCATCCTTTTTTGCAATATTTGATGGAAAGAAACTCTGCCTTGAAATTTTCTGCTTGTATAATTTGACAAAACACACGGTGTGTAGGTACAAAGCAGAGAATTTTTGCTCACCTTGGTCTCTCTAATATCACTTTCTCTCTTTCTCAATCAACATGCTCCTTATCAAGCATTTGATTGCTTTAGTGTTTACTGCACAGTGGCTCATTTGCTCTAATGGCCTTAAGAGTAAATGTTATACCATCAGCCTGCTGTCATTTACTTCACACTGTTAACTTTTAACTCTCCAGTTCACTTCATACATGCACATAACTATCAGCTTTGCTACATGTTATTTATTTAATGCTGCCATCTGTGTTTTTTTTTTCCTTGTTGATTAATGCTCACTATTACACTTTTAAAAATAATTTTGCATGTTTTTGCTCAGTTCTCTCATGATTGGATTGTTGTCTTTCTTTTCGACTTTGGTGTTTCTTTCCTTTGTCTCTGTCTTCATGGATCAACATTGTGCTTGTTGCTGCTCACTGCATGTGTGTGTGACACCTGTCACAGGGAAACCAGCCTCGCTCACCTGCCAAGACAGTAGGTAACATTTAATAAGTACAATGAAATGTCTCTGTGACATTGATTCAGTAACATAATAGTTAATCTTATTTTTTTACAGCACACATGTTTATATGACAAGATGTCACCTTCAGTTCTGACAGAAATTGTGTTTTCTTGCATCTAATTCAGTTGCGGTTCTACATTAGTGGTAGTTAAAGTTTAACTAGGATTGCTATTAACTGGGGACTTATGAAATGTGACTGCTCATACTCTTATGCTGCTACGTCTTTGATATATATTATATATTAACATACAGTAGGTGTGAGGAATTACTGTAAATGCAAGCTTATTTCAATATGTACATTTTCCCTGCAGGTGTTCATCAAGCCTGTTATGGACCTTTAAGAGATCGTTGGAATGAAATAATAAACACTGCTGTAAACCAATGAAGTAGATATAAACACTGCCCTGGAAAATAGGGTTTCTGTGATATTATGACACCCTGAAAATGCTGGAGGGTTAAGAAGTCTTTTGAAATGACATTTAGACCATATTAATCAAAAAACTTATATTTGCATTCTAAAGTTCATCACCATTAAATATGTAGTGGGTAAACACTGTCCTGAGGATATCTTTAGTGTTGTTCAGCAAACACACAGAAAGAAATAGCACACATCTGTTACCCCGCTTATTTAATGGCAACAGAAGATCAGTGGTGCAGCAGATGTGCAGCCACTAAAGAGCAGATTTATCTGCATGGTTGGATCAGGCTTTCATAAAAGCATAAATACTGTACATATATAATTTAGGACCTTTAACTGTATATACTATTTGAGGGCTTATTTATTCATGAGTTCAGGACCACTCAGTATAATGTGGAGTTCACACACACACATCCTCACACACAGTATAGGTCAAAAGGTGACATTTTATGACTTCCCTTTCAAATAGGAATATGACTGTTGCATGTTGTGTGTATATGAGTGTGTGTGTGTGTGTGTGCGCGCGCGCTGTATATATCCAAAGTATTCTACTGTAAGATGTTTGGTATTCGGCACATCATTAGGGCAGTATATCCTTGAGCCACACATATCATATCGCACCCATAAATAAATATGTATAAAGATATGTTATATGTGTTTGTATGTGTTTTAAGTGTTTGTATTTCTGCATTCCTGTGCTTGTGTGTCTTTTAATGTGTGTACTGTAAATTCTAAAGCCTGTCAATGCTTGTATTGCTAGCAAAATAAAACTTATGAGGCAATAAATTACACATGAGGTAATAACTAGATAATATGAGCATGTTTGGAAAAGGATCTCTACAATTTTGTTGAAACAATTTAAATTAATTGCCATATATGACAGTAACTGTAAATATCTAATAAAAAGTACAATTTAACTGTGAATTTATTATAAGTAATGACAAAATATGTTATGTCGCCACTATAGTCACAAATCAATGAGAACTTCAGTCAGGATCTTCTAGAGACCATCTGAGAGACATACAGCTTCTGTATGCACCTGTGTGTGAGTGCATGTGCGTACATGTCTGCCCTAGTCTCCACAGGCCTCACAGCCTGCTGTCCATTTAATCAGAGACTAATTTAGACCTGGGTAAACAGGTGGCAGAAACCTCCAGCCAATCAGTGGTACAAAATAGATTAATTAACAGGTCTACTAAAAGTCCAATCCTTTGTGGAAGTGGGAAGTGGAGAAAGCTTGTGAAAGCCCAGCTGCATTTTGATTGTGAATAATGTATTACATGGAGAGAATCAAAGTACATGTATTAGTAGTCTTACTGAATGTGTGTGATACTGTAGCTGTTTGGCTAAGCTAGCAGATTTGTGTACGAGGATGCAGCTGCTGAGGGAGGAAACTGTGTGAGCCAAAGTGTTCATGTCTTCTCTGTAATTCAGTAAATGGAATTGAAAGGCTGACATAAGTGAAATGCCCCTTGGTTCTTATTAATAATATGGTGCATGAGGGTATGTGCATCCATACAGTCTATCTGTCCTCTATGGTTGTGCTTGTATATGTCTGAATCTATACCTGTGGGTGTATGTTTATGAGTGTGTTTATTGCTATAGTCATTTAGGCGCACATTAATCTATTTAATACCCCTACTCTGTCCAAGTTAATGGGTTGTTAGACTGTAATGGTGCAAGGCCAGAATGACGATGGAAGCACTTTAGAGGAATGGCTATCGACACCCCAGGGCTAAGCATTAATGCTTATATTGACTCATTCAAATCAGGTATGCTGTGTGGTGTGTTTTAAGTGGCGTGTTTGTCTGCAGTATGTAGTTTCTGTGCTTTCATGCATCCATCTGCATGTGTATGTGTGTGAGATGTTCATTAGAGCACAGTGTTCTTTAAACTGTTCTAATTAGTGGAGAAATCAAATGAGCTGAAGGTTGTTTCAAGAACAGCATCACAGTTAGAATGATTTATGTGGCATCAGTGGCTTTCTCCAGGCATTAGGATATTAGCGTATCTAAAAGAAATTGAAGCAGAGCCTCTTGCATTCAAAATGACTTTGGTGACCCTGACTTTCATTTATCTTACCTTCCATTATATTCGTTTGCTTTATTATTTCACATGTTTTAGCCAATTCTACATAGACATGACTGAGAAAGAATATTTTTTCTCCATCATGGACAACATGGTATTTTTTTTCCTCTGGGTTTGTGGTGGTCTTGGTTATGGTTTGTAAATGTTCCAGGGAGTGCCCAATGAGCACAGAGTCCCTTGACCTGTCTGCTGGATCAATTTCTGACCAGGTTGTTCTTTCACAAGTAGGGTAGAAACACCAGGCAAACACAGAGGAACCAAACACAAGCACTACAAGCAGACAGGCAGGCACAGTGACCAGTGAAGTTAAATGACCAAACTGGCTTGCTGGCAGGAATACAGCAGATATAGTCAGAAATATGCAGGGATTGGAACATTCAAGCTAACAGTCTAAAACAAGCAATGAGCCCAGGAGTGGGAACAGACAAAAATCAAAGTCCAAATATCCATGCAGAGTACAAAACATATAAGCATGTCCAAAAACAGGTAAGAAGGGAAAACAGGAAACAGGGAGGTAGCGAGAACATCATGACTGATAAGCACATCCAATAAACTGGCAGAGAACAGTGGAAACAGACAAGTGCATATACTGTGGAGATGATTAGGGAAGTATAAACAAGTGTGGCTGGTGTAAGAGGTAGGACTGGACCACAAGGGAATGGGAGGAAGGTGTGCAGGACAAAAGAGTCCAGAGAATTACAGGGCAGGGACTGGAATTATGACCATATCTCTGATGCCACCTCCCCTTCTGTCCCACCTTCCCCTCTATACCCTGCTCCTCAGGTGCAGCAGGAGGGCAGAGGGGCTTCCTAGGCTGTATTCGAGCCTTACGAATGAACGCCATCACCCTTGACCTGGAGGAGAGAGCCAAGGTAACACCTGGGGTCAAGCCTGGTTGCCAAGGTCACTGCACCAGCTTTGGGATGTATTGCCAGAATGGAGGGAAGTGTGTGGAGAAATATAATGGCTACTTATGCGACTGCACCGATACTGCCTACAATGGCCCATTCTGCACCAAAGGTAAGAGGCATTTTAGGAAAGACATTTTCAGTATCCAATTAAACTGTCATATCATGGGACTATAAATTCCACTGGAACTGTGTCACACTGCTCTTCATCTTCAAAACTTCAGCTGCAAGACAAATGGATGTTCCCTTGTGTGCTGTCATATTTTGTTTCCCTCTTGCCAGCAGGACTTTTTTCTACAATTCTCTGAGGTATTTAACACTACAGATAGCAGATAACTTATTTTATTATTATTATTGCTATTCCCTTTTCTAACCTAACAAAGCACATTTCTTCTCAGACTCTTAAGATGACACACGGAGTCAAACAGTAATCTCTGAGCTAACACCTTTCTACAAACATTTATGGGCATCTCTGTAAAAGCACATTATCATTGGTTCAGGCCTTCTTCAGTTCACAATGCCAGAGTCAATAGAAGTGGGATTACCTTGAGAGTATTTATGTTTCAATGAGCTTCATTGCCTGACAACCCACTGTGATTTTTGCTGCACTCTGTGATTATCCTCACTTCCTATTCAGTTTGTAGCTGGCAGTGCTGAAAGTGTTTGGGCTTATGATAAAAGGCATTGATTGAGAGTGATATTGTGCTTACCCACCAATTCCCCCTGACTTTAGAGTGCTCTCACTGAATGCTAATACTGTGCAGATGCAGAAGGCAAAAACAAAATGTCAAAGTCACTTCACTAAACAGAGGGTAGCTGTAGATTTCAGAAGTTCAAAGATGACAAATGTCACACTGTAACTCTGCTACTGTGCTGGTGCATATTACTAAAACATCATGTTTGTTTCATAGGGATTCATTAGATCCACTATTAAAGTTCTACTCCACAAAACAAGTTTTTATAAAATGCTCTAGGGAGAAAAGCAGCAGTCCTGTCAGAGGCTTTCTGCTAGCTCCCAGTCAGAGAGCTGATCTCCGACACGTGAATTAATTTGTTTCCTACAGCCAAATAGTGTTTTTCCCCTGTGCTCTTGGCAGGGGGGTGACAAGATGACAGAAAAGCAAAGAGTGTGCCAGAGTGTGTATGTTTGTGCATGGAAGAGGGTGACAATGTGTGGTGATATGTTAATGTAAACCATGAAAACACCTCCTCTGGATTCCGTCATAACCAATCAGGCATTTCCGGATTCAGACAATAGAGATTACTGTGTGTGTTTGTGTGCCTTTGTATTACTTACATTATGGGGACCTGTTAACACACTCACATTATGGGGACTTGGTCATCACCGAATCATTGAATTTTAGGGGGGCAACATGGTTATAGTGAGGTTAGGGCTAGGGTTAGGCAAGTAGTGGTTATGGTTAAGGTTAGGATAAGTTTGGAGGAAATGAATATAATTCAATGTAAAGTCCCCATAAGGAATGAAAACAGTGTGTGTGTGTGTGGGTGTGTGTGTGTGTGTGTGTGTGTGTGTGTGCGTGTGCAAGCATGTGTACCTGTTTCTCCCC